TATCCCTAGCACTGGAAACTAAACTACTGAGATGGTGCAGTCACCTGAGCAGGCTCCTGACTTTGTCCTGGCTCAGCAAATTTACTCCCCATCTCAACTCTCATTTGCTGCTGCAGTGGCTCACTGCATCAGAATATATATGCCAGGTCTCTTTGATCAGAATCTATTCATTGCAATACTATCTAAGGCTTTTCCCCTAAGACATGTGACTATATGCATGTAAGGGGAATACAGCTCTTTATCATCCTAATTTGAAGCTCATTAATATTCTCCTTAATTTGTGCACACAAACCAGATTCTTATTAGGATTCAACCCAGCCCATCCATCATTCTTTGTTCTCTCCCTCTGATGCACTTACTCCAGGAGACAGATAATGCATTTAAAATGTAGAACACTGAAGATGCAGATGACTCGAAAACCCCATTCAGACAAAATGGCAATTGAAAAGCTTGGGGGGGAAAAAACCAGTTTAATGAGCTTTATAACAAATATGTTCATTTCAGAATAAACAGCCTTTTTGCCAATTGGTTCCTAAAGAAAATTCTAAGCTTAATAGCAGCAGTTTGTAGTTTTCACTTCTAAAACCATTCGTGCTCTTAGAAAAATGGCAGCTCATAGCAGAAAAAAAAAGATATAAGATGCAGAAATAGAAAGGTCAAAGGAAATTTAAGATTGAAACAACTAAGATAAAATATTGTAATAAAATAAACCTGGAAACAAAGTGTATTACAATCCTGAAAAATTGTAATAGGTGGTTAGTGTCAATGAGCCACTAATCATGAGTGAACTCAAGAGAAGGAATCCACCAGCCACTGGTGATACACAACCTCTGTTCATTTCAGCGGAGGACACATAAAATGAATGCTCATTTCAAGTCATCAGAAGTGAGTGGATTATACAGTGGGTACAATCCACCATGAGGTTCTCCTGCACGAGACCCACTAAAATGACTGAAAGAGGTGCACGAGTACTATGCTCTACTGCAGCTCACATTCATTTCAATGGCATTTGTGCAGGAGCATTTCTCAGCTCACTAGGCCTGCTGTGTGCCAATTGACTGTTCTGTTCCAGGAGTATGAAAGATACACAGTAGGGCCTTTCATTTTGCTATCAAACTGCAATGAGATAATTTCTCAACTAGTTATTTATAAAAGAGCATGTTTAAACAACGTATTTGGATTTTTCATATTACAGTTTTAAATTATCACTGCATACAAATATATATATATATATATAAATAGGGAGCAGAGCTTGACATTTTAAAAAGTAGCTAGCAGCAAGAACGTTCAGAGTCTACTTTCCTCTTATTGGTTTTTCAAAAATAAAGCTGCTCCACATTGGATCCACTGGTCTTGGTTGCCTCCACACGGAACATCAATGTTAGTCACAACGCAGTCCCTCTCAGCACTGGTGTAGACGGGCAAAGAGATACACTCCTCGGGGGAATAGGGCCCGTAAGCATTCTGTCAAGAAATCAATAATCCACTTGAATTTGAAAACATTACTTGCATTGAGGCCAAGGACGCATTTGATCATAGAGTTATGATCGAATTACACAGGATGAGGAAGATTGATGATTAAGATCTCCTATTTTTATAAAACAAAAATTACATGTATCAGCCCTAGGAAGTTGCTTTGAAATTTGGAAAGTGGTGATTTAATCCCTTTCACCTCACGTTGTTTCCCTGATCTAAATTCCTCCCTATTCCAGCCCTCTAATGCTGCTATTAGTTCAGCTGAGGATAAAAGATAAAGCACAGCATTAGCCTCTTTATTTTTTGTCCACCTGTGGAGTTTATTGAAGCTTGGGGAGGGGGTGACTGAAATTCAGGGACTTATTGCTGAGGGAGGGGGGTCTAGCTCTTTCCTCCCATGCCATTTCTTCAAAGCAGCCACATCAGCCGTGAATTAGAAAACTAACAGGACACGCTAATCATGGATCTACTATGCCTAGCTTGACCCTTAGTGCAGTTGAATTTGGAGGCTGATTGGGATAACTTTAATTCTGTGTAGAAATAGAGAGTAGAGGTGGAAAGCTTAACTGCTGAGAAGGCTCTCTAGTAAAATGCATTCTGTGAAATAATATATGTTTCTGTTGACTGTGGGTGATAATACAGTGCAATCCTAAACAGTGTTATGCCCACTGAAGCCAATGAGCTTAGAAGGATGTCTCTGTTTAGGATTGTACTGGTAGACTTTGCCAACTGTGGAAATCTTGTGCTGTCAGAGTCAGGTTACCACAGCGAATCCTCACATATACACAGGTCTTTGAACTGCAACACAATGGCAGTGTTGGCTGGATGGCATGATATTTTCTTTTCTTTTTTTGCGGTTTATAATTTATTTATTTCATTTAGAAAGCCAATAGCATATAGATTTACACAGATTTCATATATACAAACTTCTTGTACAACATGTACTTTTCTTAACAACACAGAATAACAGATTCTTAAGATTTCATTTCATTTTGACATCTTCCCTTTTTCCCCTTCATTCTTTCCATTTTGGACCAATATATCTTTCTAGGAAATATTACATTCCACAAACTCTTATCAGCGTTGTGTATCTTTCATAATTGTACAAATACCCTCTCATACCTCATAAACAGTTTTCTGCAATCCATATATGGGCTTTAATTTATACCTCTCTTTTTTATTTTTTATATATAAATTTCTGTTTTCCCCACCTTTTCACCACTATGTTATTTCCTTAATTTTCTACTCGGATAT